ATTGAACCCCAGTCCTCTGCAACAGTATCCAGTGATCGTAACCCCTGAGCCATCTCTCCAGGCCCACAATCTGGCATTCTTATGAACATATCCCATCTCAGGTAGTCTGAGATGAATATGCTGCTAAATATTGTGGGGAAGTAGGTGAGCCTTCTCTAAAGAAGGCACAAGTCATACTTGAGTGAAAAGCTTTATATACAGGATGTTGATGCTCTTCAAAGTAAACATGAACATAGCCTGAGGGGATTGTCCTGTTCCAGGATTAGGCCAGTTCACCCTGCTGGAATTCTCCTGACTAGCCTGGCCAAGAACCAGCTGCCAGTGGTCTCTGGAACACCCTGTCCAGCTAATTAGATACCTTCCCACTCAGACACAATCTTCAGGCTCTGAAAATAGGACTATAAAGCTCTGCTGTGTCTCCAGGCTAGCATGATCAGCTGGCTGGAACCCTCACACCCCACCTCCATCTTCACACTCACAGTCCGAACTGTGACTCCTTACCATAAACACTGGACCAGCCTGGAATCATCCCATCCCTCCAATAAAAAATAATAAATGAGAACCTGAATCACAGACCAACTTACCTCATCAAAAGGCAAACCAAACTACAACAACAATAAAAACAGAACCAAACTTCAACTCAACAAAGGCAGGCTAGAAGTAGAACTTCTTATCAGACACACAACCAGCAAAAGAAGTCCATGTACCCAGGTCACACTGCAAAAACACTAGTAATATGAAAAACCAAGATAATATGTTCTCACCAAATCCCAAAGTTCCAGTAAAAGTGTTCTACAATGAGAACTATCAGAAGAACCCCAGGATAGAGAACGTAAAATAACAATCATAAACGTGATCGAAGGATTCAAAGATCTGTGTGTGTGTGTGTGTGTGTGTGTGTGTGTGTGTGTGTGTGTTTGACAGGGTTTCCCCCGTCCCAGCACACCTGGAAGTCACTATATGGACCAGGTTAGCCTCTGATTCACAGAGATCTGCCTGCCTCTGCCTCCTGAAGACTGGGATTAAAGGCATGGACTACCACACCCCGAATGGAAGTCAAGGATCTAAAGAACACACAAACAACTCAGAGAACGCAAGGGGAATAGGAATAAATTCCTGACTGAAGCTCAAGAAAATACAAATACACAGCTGCACGAAATGACGAAGACAACTCAGGATTTGAAAAAGCGAATTCATAAAAGGGATAGAAATATTGATGAAAACTCAAGTTGAAATGAAGATGTATTGAAAAACTCAAGAAGCCAATTTGAAATAACAGGGGGAAGCCTCACCAACAGAATGAATGAATGGAAGAGAATAGGTGTCTATGCGACGCCCACCCTAAGTGACACATCTACAATGTAACTTCTACACCTAAGGCTAAGGGAACATAGTGGAACAGGGGTCGAAAGAATATTAATGCATCTTTAAACCCTCACCAGTGACGTGCAACAAATGGTGATTAACCGTGAAAGCCACAGCTAGCCAAAGTGCAGAAAATAAGAGACTGCGGAATGTTCATCCTTGAATAAAACACTATTTCCAACCTGTGACACCCAAGGCTCAGGGACCATTGCAGGGGAAGGGGTAGAAAGACTTTAAGAGCAAGAGGTGGTGGATGAAGGAAACAGATTTCCGGACATCTAGTCAGTTACTCATTAACTCACAGCAATGATTACAGGATGCACAAGACCCAGGCAAACTCAAGCAGACAAAACCACAGCATAAAATGAGGATGTGGGTAAGCAGCCCCAGCCTTGGCTGAGGAACTATTTGTAAACAGGAACTGCTGGGGAGGGAGAGTTGGCTTTCTTTATGGGGTGACAGTACATAGATTAACCAAGATCCAATAGATGGTCCCACACCAAAGGACATTAAAGAATACAATGTTGACTTGTAGGTCTTGATATATATGACAGAGTACATGAAATGCGGGGACGGGGGAGTGCTGTAAGAAGGCTGCAGATGGGGGATGGAATCTAAATATGATCAAAATATATTGTATGAAATTTGCAAAAATTCAAGTAATAAAAAGTAATCAATAAAATTAACTCAGATAGAAAATATCTGAAAATCCTTAAAATATCAGTCCTATTTCAGGTCACCGTAATCCACTGAGATAAAGATTTAATACTAAGAGAGAAATGCCCAAAATGAAATTTGTTCTAGGGGAAGCATTCAAGAGATAATCAACCACTCTATCCACCCAAGAAGGAAGACCTGCCCCAGGCTGCCACTGCCCTGCCTCCCTCTCCTCCTCTGGTGCCAATCCCTTACACTGAAGAAAGAGCTGAAGACCTTGCTCACAAACAGCATTCTTCCCAGAACAAGAAACTCCCAGTTCACCACTTCACCAAGCTCCAATACTTTGACTTAGGACCACCTAGGAGACATACCTCTGGGAGTGTCTATGAGGGTGTTCCAGAGTAGATTAACTGAGGAAGAAAGACCCACTCTGAATGTGGTCAGCACCATCACAGACTAGGCTGAGGTCATGAACTGAATAAAAAGACACAGTGGACTGAGCCCCAGTGTTAATCTCTCTCTGTTCTCTGACTGTGGATGCAATGTGACCAGCTGCCTTGTGGTCCTGCTGCCTGACCTTCCCTGCGTGGATGGACTATACACTAAAACTGAGCCAAAATAAACCATTTATTCTAAGAAAAGAAAGAAGAAAGAAAGAAAGAAAGAAAGAAAGAAAGAAAGAAAGAAAGAAAGAAAGAAAGAAAGAAAAGGTGTGTTATGTTTAAATTCAAGCTTATATTGGTAAAATGTAAAGAGTAAGGAATTTTCATAGATTAGGGATTAAATTGAAAATGAATTCCCATTCTCACTTTCTCAACGTCTCCCAGGCCTTCCGTGTCAAGCAGAACTAGAGTGTGGTCTGACTTGTGGGGATGAGGCATACACCACATCCAGATTCCTTTGGTATGAGACTGCACTGTAGAGCCCAGAGAGAAACCTGTAAATTATAGAAAAATAAGAGAGATTTAGTAGCAGGTGCTGAAAGAAACTGAGTTAAAAATTAGCATCATCTGCATTTTAGCTCTGGAAACTGTTATTAAATATGACAATGCTGTTGTAATGAAATGCTTCTTCTAAGCTTGTGGTTATTAAATAAATAATTTTTTAATTACCATCATCAAAGTCAGCAGAGCTAACTGAAACCAAAATTAGCATTGATATTTTACCAAAAATAATCACAATATTCAGTATCTGAAAATATTCAACATATTATGATTTTAAAAAATAACATTCAACAAATTAGAAGTAAAAGAAAATTATCTCAGTGTAATAAGGGCCATATTTGAAAATCCACTCTAATATCCCATTCAATCACTAAAGATAGAAAGCTTTTTTCCTAAGATCAGAAAATGAAAAAAAGGTGCATATTTTGGACATTGCTATTCAACTTGGCACTGGAAGTGCTATCCAAAGTAATTAGTCAAGAAAAGAAAATCGCAGAAACCCAAATAGGAATGGAAGAAGTAAAATTATCCTGTTTATAGGTGGCATGATCTTAATGTAGAAAACCTCAAATATGTATCCTCAAATAGATAAAATAAACAAATCCAACAAAGCTACAGCATACAAAATCAGCATATAAAAATCATATTGTGGTACAAGCCTTTAATCCCAGCACTTGGGAGGCAGAGGTAGGAGGATCTCTGTGAGTTGGAGGCCAGCCTGGTCTACATAGTAAGTTCCAGGCCAGCTGGGACTACAGAGAGATCCTGTCTCAAAAAAAGACCAAAAAAAACCCATCTTATGAATTCTATAATTGGTTCCATCTCTATACAGTAATAATGAATAACCTGTATAAGAAATTAAGGAAGCTATAATCCTATTTGCAACATCAAAAGAATGAACTACTCAGGATTATACTTCAACAAGAGGGTAAAAATCTGTGTAGTGAAAAGCATAACTTGTTGAAAGAAATTATAGAAGACACAGTCAAATACATATCTAGTGTTTATGGCTTGGAAGAAATAGTAATGTTAGAATATCAGTACCATTGAAGTGATAAACGCTCTTTCTTTTTGTGCTGGGGAACCTTGCTAGGTTACCCAAGCTGTTCCTGAACTTGGGAGCTCAAATGATCTTCCCACTTCAGCCTCCCAAGTACTGGGACTTCTGCCCTGAACCACACTCTTTGCTCTCCTTATATTTGTGTAGTCAAATCAAAGAAATAGGTTGTAGAGTGGTGGTGGGAATGGTCAAATGGAGAACTACTGAAAAGTGGTTACTTAGTTTATGCTGCAGAACATGGAAAGTGTATGGAAATGGATTGATTTGATGATTATACAATGAAGAATATTTACCTAATGCCACAGAATTGTGTGCTTTAAAATGGTCATAAGAATTAAGTCTTTGTTAATTATATTTATGATATTAAAAATCAAACTCAATTTGAAATCATTTTAGTCTTAAAACTCAATAGAAACTTGCTGTTACAACATGAACTTTTCAATAAATGCTTTACAGTTTATTTCACGTTGTGATATAAATTAGCTGTCCTTACTAATGCCTCTTTCTCTCTACAATAGAAATGATTTATGCTTTTGAAAGGGAATCTAAGACAAAGTAAGGCCTGCTGTTGAACTGACTTGCCCCTGGAACAAAATGAAGATTTAAAAACCTAACTTTGAATGGGAGGTAACCTTCCAGTATTCATCTCTTTAACTTCCTCTCCTCATACCCTATGCTGGAAGCTGACACTGCTGGTGGACAAAGAAGACCTAGCACAGCTCTGCTGGTGGCACTCACCTGTTTTCTTCCCAGCCAGTTTGTTCATCAGGTAGGATTTTCCCGTGCGGTAGAAGCCCACGATGGCCACCACCACCACAGGCTGAGTGATGGCTGACAGGATCTCCAGGGCTTCCTGGTTAGGTCTCAGCTGTCCTTTGACGTTCTCAATGAGGCACATGGGTTCTGGCATGTGGGGCTCTAAGGCCATGTCCACTGGGACCTCTTGACTACAAGGGAAGAGATGTAATCAGTTAGAAATCTCTTTTCTCAGAAGGTGGAGCTATACAGTCCTCTGATGTGAAAAAATGTTGTACATGCGGCAATGACAAGGTAAGGAAAAACCTGTGCCATTTTTGAAGGTTATGGAAATATTATCAATGTAGTTGAAAAAATGTTACTGTAACAATGAATTATCAGCAGTCAACTACTCTTACAACCCAAATTTTCCTTTTAGCTTATGAAGGAAATTTTTCCTTTTGTATTCTTATTTTAAAATGTATATTAGCTATAAAGTGGGAAAGGAAAACTACAAAAATTAATTTTAAAATTCTAGACATAGAGAATTTTCCTTTTCAAAAATAGAATTTTACTAAACACGGGATCAAATTAATTTTTTATCAAAGACAAATGCACAAAATTCAATATAGATTATTTCCTTATTTCTTACAACGAATACTCTCATAAGTTGAAAACTCAGTTTTTTAATGATTGTCCTTGGATAATTTGCACAGGTATTTAGTACTTTCCTTCCTCCTCTACCCAAGCTCTTATGAATATTTCACAACGATGAGAAGCTACAAAGTTCCTAACACTGCTGTTCCCGAAGAGGAACCAACACAACTTACTTCTGCAAGTTTTATGGATTGATGATCGTGGGAACACATGACAGGAGAGTCTTTCAAAGACTTTGAAGCTGTGAATGAGGTTCCCAAAAGAGAAAAGACCGCCCCTAAGTTAAATATTCTACAAGGCTGACTGGCTGATACAAACTGGTGATTGTAGAGAGCTAGAATGTCACTGGTGTGGAACCAAATTATCAAGGCTGTCTTATGGCCATCTTAGCCCTCTACATAGCCATTCATTGCCTGCCTCCAATCACTGACCTACATCCTTATAAATATTTGGAATGTACAGAATCCTAGCTTCCCCAAAACCCAAAGTCTAAGAATGTCATCAGATAGCATTTGAGGTCCAGAGCTGAGGTTTCCTACTGTGCTGTAACCTGATACTTCACCAGTGTATTTGACAGTGTCATTTATGATTTTTCTCTATTCTGTTATTTAAAAGACTTCATAAAACTGTCACCATATTGACACATGCATGCTATTAGGGTAATCTGAATCTATATTCTTGAGCCATCACTACTATTTGGCTTCAGAATCTCTTATTCTCTTTAAGAGTGTGTGTATTTTTGTGTTGACAAGAGTGTGTGTGCAAGAGCAGTGTTCTATTGAGCTTCATAAGCTTCACAGTAAATTTACCTAAATGCAGGCAGGTTATGAGTGCAACCTTACAAACACAGGATGTGGCTCAAAACAACTATGATGTGAAAGTCAAGTCAGGGCTCGAATCAAGAGCACTCAATATAAAGTTGTTCAAGGAACATTTCCTTCGTACAATTTTAGGTTTCCTGCTTTGTTTTTCCATTTACTAAGAAAGGAGAAATGGGAAGAGGAAGAAAAGGTGGAGGAGGCAGAGGATAGGAGCTGATGAGGTGGAGAGAGTTGTTAAAGGGGGTGATGAATGAGACTGGTTCCTGACAAGAACTCAAGGGAGAGGCCTGCAGAGGCAGGAACAATTGTGTTGGGTCCTGTGGGACAAAGGCGCTACAAGGTAAGCAAAGACACTGCCCTTAGTCCCACAGTGCTTTTGGAGGAAACCATTTACTAAAGCAAGGGGTCTAAATGCCTCAAACAAGGGATAAGGAGTGAGCACAGGCAATCAATCAGTCTACACTTCTGAAGGAGGAAACTGACTTTGAAGTTAAGTTCAGATGTGTGATAGAAAGCATGCAGCTTTCCTGATCATCTTTGATAGAATATGTGAATTGCAGAAGAGCCACAAGCTTCATTAGGGAAAGCCATCCCTTAAACAGTCTAACTGGCCCTACACTAGCAGCCTGGCCTTGCTCAAGCCTAATCACCTGGTCACTCCCTGGACTGGGAGAGAGACTGTTTATGGAGCCCACCTGTCTTCTTTAGTACTATAGATAACTCACCCACCTGCCTGAGCAAATAATCTTCAGAAAAGAGACCCTCAAGGACACCATACCCTGGCACAGAGTTAACGCTTGCAGCCATGTACCGCAGAGTTCCTATATAAGACCAGACTGCTCCTTCTTCAGTGTGCAATAATCATTCCTCGAGGAAAAGAGCTGTCAGCCCTTTGCTGGGCTTCCTGAATCCAGGGAGCTCATTCCTTGCCTGTTGCAGGTCTGGCTCTGACTCTTATTTCTAAACTTTAAACTCGTTCCTTTTCGCAACTCCTAAATCTAACGATCTTCCCCTCTGGGTTTCAGTGTTTTCTGCCTCTGTCCATCAGTATCACAAGCTGCTTTCCCTGGATCGCATTCCTCATGAAAAGGAAATCCCACATGCAGCCCTTTGAGTTTCTTAGCTGTAGTATGAGGGATATTAGCAAGTGCCACCAATGTCCCTGTCATTTAACTGTCCATACTCACAGAGACAATATGAAGAAAGAGAAAGATTATCCTAACCCTTTGTTCTTCAGCCATGTGTCCATTGTTCTCTAACTCAATACAGACCATACTGACACTCAGTGACCTTCTGACCTGAAAATACCCCTCTGGATTTTGGGAAACCTGTGCCCCATCTCACACTCAGGAGCAGCCTATCCTG